TTAAAGATGTATTCTTGAAAAGACACTTCCAGATGACCAACCTGCGGATTACCCACAAGACAATGATAAATCCCCTGATGTTTATCTATGTAGTACATATTAACTCACTTGGAAAGTTCTGACTTGGGAATTCTTCCTCCAATATCCATGGTTCCTCTCCTTGTTCCAGTCTGAGTATCACCTCTGGTTTGGTAATGCAATACCCTGTCAACATGAAACAATTTAGGACTTGGACCACATGGTCTAGACTGCAGGGTCTTTGAAAGTGGAAATTTCTGATGAAATTTCAGTGAAGATGAAATTAACATTTCAATGGAGAGATAAGTACAAGTATCTATCCAGTGCTCACAAGTAAAAAAAAAAGAGTCCTGAATTCCAATCTTAAATATTAAACATTACGCAGAAGGGCATTGTGAGCAGAACTCACCCAGTGAAACGAGGTTGCTGTAGTTCTCCAACGTCACGTCTCTGTACAGGGACCGCTGAGCTGGGTCGAGGTGCTGCCACTCCTCCTGGGTGAAGCCCACGGTCACATCCTTAAATGATACTGATCCCTGGGATTTCTGTTCCATCTGAATGTTCAGAATTAGATGACATGGTAAAAGACAGATGGAAACTCATTTCTAAAGTGACTGTTATATAATGATCATCGAAATGGCTTAAAGAATATTTGTTTTACTTTATGCTTGGAGTATGAGAAACCACGTTAGGAACAGTATGATAGTCCTCATGTGAAAAGTTATGTCCCTACACTGTATTAGAACCATTCTAGTTCTTGGAAAAACTAAGATTAACAAGTTTTCTAGTATTCAAGAATATAATCTGGTAATGTTACAAGTGCAACAGTGAAAGTTCACACAAGACAGCCAACTTAAATGAGAAGTGAAATTCTTTTATTTTTTTGGCAAAGAGCAGCCGAAGAGTAGCACTGTGCTGTCATGCACACAGGGACATGGCAGGAGCAAGTCAGGGAGCTGCTCACAGCACAGGAAGACAGCTAGTAAGGGGGAGGCGGTGTGTGAGGAGCCACGCAGGTGCTGGGAGGGGGCCCCAGAGGAAGCCCGGCGGAGCCTGTCAAGTATGTGATTGCCTTCCGCCGCAGAGAACATCTTTAAGCACTATGTGTAAAATATATATGAGTTTCAATGTATAAACAGAAATAAACATTTTTATTAATTTTATTTTTATTTAGACTTAAAAATGTAGAAAGACTTCCTCACATTTTATTGCACACATGTTCTAGATGCTAACCCTCAGTTCAGTGCCAATAACTAGAAGGGATTTTGAAATTACTGTACTTGAAATGTGTATAGGACACACAGGAGAAGGTCACTGATTGGGCAGTTTCTGGTACCATTGATATTGCCTGGCTCTACTTCAGGGATCAGTATTACAGAGACACGGGAAATAAAAAAATATGTGTATATACTGACATTATGTGAACAGGTTTTAATTTTCTATATACAGAACCAGATCTCCTGAAAAAGGAAAGAAGAATGAGAAGACAAAATACCAGCACTTAGAGATAACTATGGCAGTAGGACCTGGGGGTGTAAGCAGGGCCCTGACAAAGGAGGCAGCCATGGTGATTGTGCTCGGTGGCATGTCAGTGCAGAGGGGGCCCCCAGTCCCCATGCGCGCAGAACCATACAGGCACTAGTCACTCAGTCAGACATTTAAGAGAAAACAGGCTGAGTGCTGGATTTTAACTGACAGATTTTGTGTGTACTGGAGGGCTACAATGAAAACAGCTTGGCAGGAACTGACAATTGCTGGTGTTTGAAGCCATCCGCATGACGCAGACGTCTCTCAGAGAGCTGAGACAGAAAAAATAATCAGGCATGAAAGCCGAGGGGAAATGCTGCTTTAGCGACTAACAGAAAATAGGGCATAAAAACCATGAGTAAATGTTCTAAGCAGTGGGAATGCTAATTCAGAATGAAGATGTTTTAAGACTCAGATAAAGATATGGTCATCTCAGTAGATACAGAAAAAAAGGAGAAGAAATTCTTGGCAAACTAGAAACAGAAGAATTTCCTGGATACGATAAAAAGTTTTTGTTTTTTTTTTAAACAAATACTTCCAGCAAATACCTTGTAACAGTGAAATAGGGAGTGTTCGACTTAAAACAAGAACCAAGATAAGATGTCTGTTATGCAACATTTTTTTTTAAAGATTTATTTATTTATTCATACAGAACTGGGGTACAGGCCAGAGATGTGGAGGGTGAGAGGATTCACCAGAGACAGAGCGGGG